CGCCTCGCGGGAGCGGACGTAGCCGCGAGCAGGGAAAACACCGGTTTTACTGCCTTGGCGGTGGAGGCTGGCTTTGTCCAACAGCACGTTTGCTAGCACGAAGGAAAGCAGGGACGTGCTGAGGACGTCCCCTCGCGAGGAAGCGCTAGGCCAGGAGCGTGCGTGCGCTCCTGGCTTGCTGCCTGGAGAGGAGCCCAACTTCCTCCAAACGTGAGCATGTTTCACACTCCTGAGTGAACGCTTCGAATGTGGGCTTGGATCTCCGTTATTTAGCCCTTGTGAGGGGTACGTGGCGTGAATAGGAATCTGTTTACAAGCCCATTGGCCTGTTTGGTGGTCTTTTGTGTGGCTAGTTTTCCATTTCAGTTCAGAGTGTTCAGTTCAGTTCTGAGTCAGCAGTGTGCCCTCATGGCCAAGAAGGCCAATGGGCTCCTGTCTGCATCAGGAGGAGCTTTGCTAGCAGGTCAAGGGAGAGGATCCTGCCTCTCTACTCATCTCTGGTGAGGTCGCACCTGGAGTATTGGGTGCAGCTCTGGGCTCCCCAGTACAAGAAGGACATTGAGCTTCAGAGAGGGTCCAGTGGAGAGGCACAAAGATGATTAAGGGACTGCAGCATCTGTCTTATGAGGAAAGACTGAGCGAGCTGGGCGTGTTTAGTCTGGAGAAGAGAAGGCTGAGAGGAGACTTGATCAACATGTTCAAGTACCTGAGGGGTGATTGTAGGGAGGATGGGGCCAGGCTCTTCTCCGTGGTGGCCAGTGACAGGACGAGGGGTAACGGGTGCCAGTTGAAACACAGGAAGTTCCACCTCCATGTGAGGAAGAACTTCTTTCCTGTGAGGGTGCCAGAGCCCTGGACCAGACTGCCCAAAGAGGCTGTGGAGTCTCCTTCCCTGGAGATCTTCCAAACCTGCCTGGACGCCACCCTGTGCCACGTACTCTGGGTGTCCCTGCTGGAGCAGAGGGGTTGGACTAGATGATCTCTAGAGTTCCCTTCCAACCTTAACCATTCTGTGACTCTGATTCTATGATTCTCTCAGAACCTTAGCTAATTCCTCATAGCATCTCATTATTATTATTATTATTATTATTTGTTACCACTCATATGTACAAGTAGTAACTAATTCATTTGGAAGATTTCATAGAGCAAAATATTTTGCAAGGTGACTAAATATAGCTCTCAGTCTCAAACTTCAGCTAGCATTCTTTAAATTTCTTTTTAGAAATACTTCGAAGTAATTTTTTTCCCAAGTTGCTTGATTACTACCATCTAGGCTGGACAAGAATGTAAACATTCAAATCACGCAGAGAGAGGCAAGTATTTTAACATCCTTAGTTTCTGCTAATGAAAAATATAGTTGATAAAATCATTTGCACCAATACTCCTTAATTCACAGTCATAGCAAGTAACAGACCGAATAAAAAAACACTTAAGAGCTTTCTCCTTCATTTTCTGGACTAGGATTCCAATGTATGCAATATTTTTTATGAACGCTATTGGACTAATGTATAACCATCTAATGGAGATACAGAAGGTACCACCACTTCATTCAGTAATCATGACAACGCACATACAATCATGACTATCAGAAAAATTTCTTCATTTTCATACTACATATGTCAAAGATACTGATATAATATATTTTATCAAGCAGTAAACTTGCTTCCAAAGTACACCTCAAAGTATCCCTAGAAAACCAAATTCAGTAACAAAGACCAAGGGAGACAAATAACCAGTTCCCTAATAGATATGCTAAAAGAGTGGGAAAATTGGTCAGACTCCTATTTGTTACAGGGGAGCATCTGTGGAGGCATAGTACCTTTGGGTAGATAATAGATGCCTTGTTAGTAGA